CGGTACGTTCAGGGCGAGGCCGCGGCCGCCGCGTGAGCTCGGGGCGCTCACCGGGCGTTTACCGCCCCGGCACACGCGGCGGGGCTGGCCCACAGCTGCGAGGGGCCGGCCTGCGCAGGGAGAGTCAGGAAAAGCATTGACTGGTAGACCTAGTCAGAGATCAGCTTTCCCCTCCTGACTACTCTCTAAGCAGACAGCATCTAACAAGTGTAACTGGAATGATAGAATGACTGTGAGAGAGGCAAGGCCTCCTGCTCACCTGGTCACACCGTGTCACGCTTGTGACGCTGAGTTCTAAGGAGCCATGTATCAGCTGGCGTTTTGGAAACTTGCACGTCCTCAGAATTTTCCCGGTGAAAAGCTGGCTGCAGTGACAGGGAAGTGTTGGCATCTGGCTGCTGTGTCCCTTACCGAGCTACTGGCACACGTCCCTGGCTACAGCCAGCAGGGAGCCGGGCCCGGGGACCAGAACCACCGGAGGTCCCGGCGCTCTGCCCAGGAGGCCTGTAAGCCAGGCGTGGGCTGAGTGGCCGCTGGGCCGGCTCCCACTGGGGTCTCCCCAGTGAGACGGAGAGCGTGACCACCCACGGTCATCGGGAAGATGGGAGACGCCCCCACCCGGCTGGGAGCAGCGCCTGGCATCCCTGTGACTGTCCTCTCCTGCAGGGGACCTGGAGCCTGGAGGGAGACAAGCTGGTCGGGAGATTCAAGCGGGTGGACAACGAGAAGGAGCTGAACGCCGTCCGAGAAATCGTGGGCGGCGAGCTGGTCCAGGTGAGCTGTGACGACGCCACTGCCTCCCCGGCGAACACCGCCACGACCGCCACTCATCCTCGGGGCTGCCGGGGCACAGCTTCCATAGCCAGGCCTTTACTTTCCTCACAGCCTCTGGCTTTAACAGCGCGCATCTCTTCCGACCCCTGTTTATTGGAGCAAACTTACATACATTCCAGTACATCAATGCCTATTTTAACTGAAATGTGATGGCAAACTGAATGTTTTTAGTTTTTACTTCTTAACATATTTTTATTGATTTCAGAGAGGAAAGGAGAGGGGGAAGAGAGAGAGAAACATCACTGATGAGAGAGAATCATTAATGGAATTTCTCCTGCATGCCCTACACTTGGGCATCAACCCCACAACCCAGACATGTGCCCTGACTGGGAACTGAACCTGGGACCTCTTGGTTCATAGGTCGATGCTCAACCACTGAGCCATGCCGGCCAAGCACACTGCCTGTTTGTAGTAGACGTGGTCTGAGTCTGTACAAAACACTGCTATCAGGAACAAGGAAAAGCACTTCAAAGTGATAATATTACGTGAACCTAATCTAATGTTTTTCTTAATTTATCCTTAAATCTTAATGCTTTAACACCTCCTGTCTGTCCACGCCTTTCAGACGTACGTGTACGAAGGGGTGGAAGCCAAGAGGATCTTCAAAAAGGAGTGAGCGGTGCCCACAGCTCGGCTGGACCACCGTTGTGTCCCGCCCAGGGCAGGGAACTCCGGCCGGCCATCCACGCGCGCCCCCGGCTCCCGTGTCCAGCCTCCCAAAGCCAAGAAGGGAAAGCTCATTCGGCTCAGCAGGGTGCGCCCTCTCTGAGCTCTACCCCGATGGGTGTTCTGAAAGAACCTGACCTTTTGTAAAAGATGAATAAATATCGTTCCCACATCACTTTACAAGGAGCCTCTCCTTTAAAGAGGAAAAAGCTACGTCGCCGTGTGTGTGGACAGGCTGTTTGGGGTATTTTCTTCACACATCTGGTTAACTCAAAGCATAGCCCACACGGGGTCTGGACAACCCTGCACTGGTTTTAAATGTTTTCTTTTGTGAAACGTATTATTATAAATATGTACTTGCCCGGAAAGCTCACAGCAGAAAAGCACGCGGAGAATTCACATTCCCACGGGCCCTGGGCTCAGCGCGGTCAGCATCCTGGTCTTAGCTGCCCTCTCCGGCCTGGTCTCCAGAAACAGGCCTTTCTCCCCAGGGTCACTTCCACAGCACGGCCACGTGCGGGTGAGGCCTGGCCTGCGTGTCCGACTGCCGGGCTCCAGGCCCGAGGGGCTGGGAGGTTTCCGTCCTCCTCTCCCCCGCCCCGGGCGGAACCTCTGGGCAGGGGCCGGGACCCGAGACCAAGGAGCACAGACACCGGCCGAGCCCCCGCTGCCCTCCTTCATCAGCACCTGCACCGCCAATGGCGTGGTCCAGCCTTTTCCTTTCTCACCTCCTCACATGACCACTTTCCCATGTTCTCACATGACATACCACTTCCTCATGTTCTCATGTGATGGACTACTTTCTCATCTTATCATGTGATATACCACTTTCTCATGTTCTCACACACTGTACCACTTTCTCATGTTCTCATGTGACATACCACTTTCTCATGTTCTCACGTGACATACCACTTTCTCATGTTCTCACACACTGTACCACTTTCTCATCTTCTCATGTAACATACCATTTTCTCATGTTCTCCTGTGATGTACCACTTTCCCATGTTCTCACAGGATGTACCACTGTCTCATGTGCTCACAGGATGTACCACTCCATTTCCTTCCAGCAGCTGCAGTACAGGAGGGTGTGCATCAGGGGCGGAAAGGGTTGGTATTTTGTGACTCTCTCTGAGCTTTAGTTTTGACTGCCTTTTTCATACCATGAAGGTAACAACCCCGTGTATTTCATCCTGGCTGTGACCCAGCACTGTCCTGCCGTGGGGGTGCACATGGCAGACACATGAGAACTGGAAAGAGATGTGAGCACAAGATGCAAATGCACAGATTGGAGAACACCTACCCTTTTGCAAAAGCGAGTCCTCAAATCCACTGTTTGCTTATAACTTCATTGGAAACTTCATAGGACATGGGATTTAGATTTTTACATGCTTTTTTGAAAATCAAGGCTCCGAGTACCTGTCCCTCGCTCAGCTCACCTCTGCGTGTCTAAAGTGGGGGCAGTGCCCGCCAGGTCGGGAAGTGGAGAAGCTGCTGGGTTGCTCGCTGGCTTGTCTCCTGTGTCGAAGGCCCGATGACCCGGGCGCTGATGGAGGCCCTGACCCTCAGTCGGTGCATAGATCTGTGCTGCTACCCGCCAGCATGAACACCAGTGTCTTAAGAACAAAAGCCCCAGCTCCTCAGTGGCCCCAGAACAGTGCTCCAATGAGCCAGGGCCGCAGCAGCAGCCATGCTTGGGCCCTTGTCCATGACCACTGGCTGTGACAGCCTGCTGTCACCCCTCTTAGGGAAACTGACCTCAACTGAGCAGCTGAGGCTGGCCAGGGCTACCGTGGCTGGCTTGTGGCTGGCTCAGGGTCTCCATGGTTGGTTCAGGGTCTCCATGGCTGGCTCAGGGCTCCTGTGGCTGGCTCAGGGTCTCCATGGATGGCTAGTGGTTGGCTCAGGGTTACTGTGGCTCGTTAGGGTTGGCGTGGCTGTCTCAGGACCTTTGTGGCTGGTCAGGACCACTGTAGCTGGAAATGGAGCCCCCAGGGCCGTGCACAGCCCATGGCGCTCCCTGTGAGGCAGAGAGAAGGCAGGTGAGCCTGACGAGAAGGCAGGCGCCTGAATAACCAGCGGGATGGGAAGGAGGAGGGCGGCCGATGTGGCTTAGAACGGGGGGCGGTTAGGTGCTGGAGGCCACCCAGTGGATATGGACAGCACGACCGCGGGGAGTGAGGCTGGGACTCCCATGTTGGCGGCGTTCTGGGGGGTGGCCCTGGATCCGTGGCATCCAGGCGTGGTTTCCCATGTGGGGCGGTGGGAGGGCGGATGTGCAGGGCGGTGGGAGGGCGGGTTTGCTGGGGGTGAGGGGGTGGGAGGACAGGCCGGGAGGGAAGGGAGGGCAGGCCCCTGGGAACGCAGGCTCACCAGGAGGGGCAGAAAGAGAGGGCGCTGGGCCGGTGGACAGGGCTGCTGGGCAGGAGGCGGTGGAGGCAGAAGGCAGGCACAGGCTCTGGAGGTGGACGCCGGGCTCGGACCAGGGGGTGTGGGGCCATGAGCGGCTGCAGGGAGGCCATAGGGATAGAGGGCAGGCGAGGGGACAAAGAAACCGGGAGCAGACGCAGACGGCGGTAAAGACAAGTTTGTGTGGAAGAGAGAGGAGACGCCATGAGGGTGCTGCTGACTCAGGAGAAGGTTCTAAGAGTTGGGAACTGAGAGGCCAGAGGGACCGTGGCTTCTCCACGTGGAGGTGGCTCACCTGGGGGTGGCAGTGAGCCAGCTCAGTATAGATGGCAGACAGCACGATGGGACCGATGATGATGACATGCCCGGAGGAGGGGGGGGGGTTAGGGTTAGGGCTAAACAATGCCCACAACCCCAGGCACCAACCAAGTCTTGCCCCGCGCGCGCTCAAAGTGGCCCCTGGAAAAGTGACGCGCCCTCTGCGTCTCAGTGTGGAGGGGCCGTCCTTCCAGGTCATGACCCACCGCTGCCATGCTGGGCCTGGCTGAAGACTGACGATGTCCAGACTTGACCACCCCCATTACCCTGGCCGAGCCCCAGGTAAAGCTCCAGGTAGCGGGTAAGCAGATCTCCTTTTCTGTTCTGCCTCTTTTTCTCGGCCACTGTTCCCTTCCATGATCTTGGTCATGGTATTGATGGCAAATCCACCTGCCCACTGGCCACCGAGCCCCTTCCTCGACAATAGCCCTATAACCCACTCCTTTCTACTCATGCCTTCATCCCACCCCTGGGCCCACTGGGCCGCCTCCCTCCCTGTCATGTTGGGGGTAAGTATTGCTGCTCAGGATTTCAGTGACAAACTCCAGATAGCCTTGGAGTCTACCACTACCTCCTTAGCCTCCCTGCAGCGGCAAGTAACATCGGTAGCCCAAATAGAACCGAAGGGCCCTAGACCTTCTTACTGCGGAAAGAGGAGGAACCTGCCTGTTCCTTCAAGAAGAATGCTGCTACTACATCCACGAGTCCAGAGTGGTGGAGCAGAACGTGCAGACCCTGACTAAACTGAGTGAAGAATTACGTGCAAGACACTCCCGGGACAACTCTCCTTTCGGCTGGCTCCAAAGCCCTTTAGCTGCCTGGATCCTACCCCCAATAGGGCCCCTAATTCTAATCTGTGTCTTTTTTTCCCCCTAGCTCCCTGCCTCCTCAAATTCATCCGCTCCCGGATCTCTGAAATGTCTCGGGTGACTGTAAACCAGCTCCTGCTCCATCCCTACATTCAGCTATCTTTCAACCCGCCTCTGCCCGACTCTGGCCTTTAACATCCCTCACCCTCTTCGTCCACCCAGGGACAGCAGGAAGTAGCCAGGACGATTTCAACGCCCCCTATCACCAAAAGGCTGCGATGTTAGATCAAGGCAGGGAGAAGCCCAGAGTTTATACAAGCATCTGCAAGGTGGATGGTGACAAAGACAGCTGGCTAGCTGGCGCCTTCCTGGGGCCTTCCTAGACCCCTGGCCTGAGACAGGAATTCCGCCCTCTCATGCCCTCCGCCCTCCCCTACTAAACAGCTGTATGAAAGAAGCACTTATGCCGCCTTTTGGTGTGAACTTCCCTGGCCCACCCTCGGACCAGCGATTCGCCCGGGAGCTCAGATTAAAACTTCGCCCCTTTTTAATCGCCTGGACTCCGTGTCTTGCTTCTGTGTCACAAACCTCTTAGCTGGAACCTTACACTTTCTGCCTTTTGAATCCCCCCATCCTCTCCCCGCCACCCCAGGGCCCATCACCATTCAAGGGCAAAGCACCAGCTGCCCAGCCTGCCCAGGGCCAGGCTCCCGCCAGGTGCAGGGGCCGAACTCCCAGAGCCCCGGCACAGGGAGGGACAGGTTCCAAGCAAGTGGGTGTTCAGTCTGTGTCTTATCACTGGGACCTCGAAGCTGCACTTGGCCAGAGTCTTGCTGACAAGGAAGTTGCTGTTGGGAACTGAGTAGCCATGGAGTCTCGCTGCCCAGCTGTTACTTGATCTGTGCTCCAGGCTACCTCCAAGGCAGCTGCACTTTGAACCTCAGAGCAGAAAAGCCTCCCTTCAGAGCCTATTGAGGAGAAAACTGGTCATGCAAGGCTTGTCAGGCATTAAAAACTGTGAACAATGCACTGCGGGGCGGGGGGGGGGGGGGGGGGGGCGTGTTCTTACCGCTGCCCCAGGACAGTTCATCCAATACGGCCTGAGGACCCCCAACACCGGGGCCTTCCTATAAGCCCAGGAAAGGGACAGAACCACATCTGCAGGTCGAAGACCCCAGAAGGTTATAAAAAGTGAGGCTCTCTGCCTGTTTCCTCACTCTGATTTGGAAATTATTCCCAGAGACCCCTGGTGTTAATAAATGGGTCCCTCCCTTTCTCTGGGAAGTGTGCTTGCTATTTCTTTGGTCTTCTGTAAAACTCTGCCTTCTAATTCTTTTTTAAAAATATATACATTTTATTGATTTTTTACAGAGAGGGAGAGGGATAGAGACTTAGAAACATTGATGAGGGGAAAACA